AATTCTAGGGAGATGGAGATGTGATTGGAGGTTAGGAAAAAGATTAAGGCTAGACAAGTAGATGTGAGAGTCCTCTACACAGAGATGAAATGGTTGATTGACTTGTTCCATTTGGCCACCAGAGGACAAAACCAGGAGCAATGAGGAAAAGTCATAAAGAGGTCAATTTAAGCTTGCTGTCAGGAAAACCTAGAGTAATTTGTAAGTGGAATGGGCTTCTTCAAGAGGCAATGGCTTCTCCCTAACTGGTGATTTTCAAGCAGAGGCCAGACAACTCACTTATTGGGTGTGTTATAGTGTGGATTCTTTTTTAGGTATGGATTGGATTAAATGGTCCCTGAGGTCCCTTCCAACTCCATATTTCTGGGGTGGTGTTACTGAACTTGACAAAAAAAAAAAACAAAACAAAACAACTGAGGATATGGCTCAAAAGAGGGCTGCAAACTTAAAATGACTTTATAATGAGTTTTCTGTACATAAGAGAATGAAGGCTTATAGTCTTTCATAGGGTCACACGGTACTAGAACTTGTCTTGTTACCTCATAAATCCTCTCCAGGAAGAACTATGTCCACAGGAAGAGATAAAAAGGAAAAATTCACTAAGTAGCAACAGACAAAACCAAGCTTCATTGGAAGTTTGTGCAGAAAACGTCTAACATTTGACTGATAAGATGAAACAACATAGACAGGACTGCTTTTCTCTGGCCTCATCTGCTGCCTGGAAGGATTTCTGACAGCTGTTCGAGCAGTTTCGGCTTGGCACGTCTCAGACGCCAGACACTGTTCACGTAGAAATAGGTTGCTTCATCAGCCTAAAGGGCTTTCTTGCTGGAATGGAACCAGACAGGGGAAATTGTTTCTCCAAACCTAATGTGTTTATAAAAAGCATGTCACAAAGGGATCATAAAAAATCAGAGACCAGACTCTTTTTCTGTTTTTCCAGGCTTCAAGAAAATATAACCTTCTTACGGGAAGAGGAAATCAAGTTAAATTTGATAAAGAAAAGGGTAGTACAAGAAGAGATGCTCCTATGTCAACACATAGGAACAGTCTATACAGAACAACTTTTTAGTGGGGCTGATTTTGGGGTACTATCCTCTGACCTCAATTTAATGACATCTATTTATGACCTAGTTCTGAAATTAGTTAAAATTAATTTTGGTTTGAGTTAGTCAATATTCAGTCAGTAAACACTAACTGTCTACTATATGCCAACTTAGTGCTAGGGATACAAAGAAAGGCAAAAGACAGTCTCTGTTCCCAAGGAATTCAGTCTAATGGGAGAGACAGTAAGCAAGTAACTATGTACAAATAAGCTATGTACAGGACAAATTGGAAATTATCAACAGAGGGAAGGCACTAGGATGAAGAAGGAGCAGAAAAGGTTTCCTATGGAAGGTGGGATGTAGCATGCCAGGCATGAAGGACAGCCTGAGAAAATCTCTGGAATTGAGAGATGGAGCGTTCAAACTTCTTGACATTTTTTGGGGACAAATAGAGACATTCCAGGCGGTCAAGGCATTATGAAGTTTATGACTTGGAAATTTCTGACTTAAAAGGATAAATTTAAACAATTTTAGATGTATATGTCTGAGTATTTGACCTGGCTAATTTCCAGGAAGGAAGAGCAAATTAGTCCACGATGCAACATTCTCATTATCATTATGGTTTTAAAAATGGTTGTCCTGTAGAGACCTAAAAGGTCAAAAAGGAGTTAAAAATGCAGCTTGATAAATGAATTTGGTTAAAAAAAAAAAAAGAGAAAGAAACCAAATCACAATTTCTCACCTTATTAGGCTCAACAGATTCCATTTTAGTGAACTAGTAAAGTCTAATGAAAAAAGATGCCAGCAATTAAAAAATAAATCATTATAGGGAGAATGTGTGTCAACATAGGCACAATTTACTAACCTAGCATGTGTTGATATGAGAAGTAGGATGCTAATAGTGGGCCTTGGAGTAAGACTTCAACGATTCAGTTCAGTAAACATCTATTAAGCACCTACTGTATGCCAAGAATAAATTTAGGCAATGAGGACACAAAGGCAAAAGCAAAATAGATCCTGTCCTCAAGAAGCTTACATTTCATGGGGGTGGGGGAAGAGGATATGTTTAAGAAAAATTTAATATAAACTATATATAAATACAGAGCAGCTGGGTGGGAAGCATATGGAAATCAGGCCTCTTGTAGGCGGTAGAAATGGAGCTCAACCTCAAAGACAAAAAGGGATTCCAAGAAGTGGAGGTGAGGAAGCAGGGCCTTCCAGGCATGGGAGACAGCCAGCCCGGGCAAAGGTGTAAGGTGGGAGTGTTGTACACATGGAATCGCAAGTATGCCAGTCTGGCTGGAAAAGAGAATGTGTGTGTGTGTGTGTGTGTGTGACTAAGATACTAAGGTGTAATCAGTCAGTCAGTCAATAAGCATTTATTAAGTGCCTACTATGTGTCAGGGAAAGAAAAGCTGGAGTCAGGATATGAAGAACGTCAAATGCTCAGCAGAACATGGTGACAGCAAGAAACTGAAAACCAACTGGTGGGCCATTGGAATGGTTGAAAAAAAATCATTGTCTATGAATGGCTGTGCAACAATAAATGACAAACATGAGGAATGCAGAGGAACACGGAAGATTTTTATGAATGACAGTGAAATAAGGAAAATCAACAGAACAATATGCAAAATGACTACAGCAAGCTAAGTTAGTTGTTTTTGTGAAAAGCCACTATAGGTTAAGTTACACTTGGAGAAAATGTCCTGGAAAAGAGATAATGAAACATGCCTCCTCTTGCCACAGCAGAGAGGTAGTAGTAACTAAGCTAGCAGAACAGACCATGATGTATGCTGTTAGATGCCGTTTTTCTTTGTCACAGAGGGACAAATTTGGGTGATGGAAGGGTTCTGAAATGATTGTGATACATAGGCAGAAGGCATAAATAAAATGTAAAAGGCAGGTAGGTGGCACAATGGGTAGAGACTTAGACCTGGAGAGAGGAAGACCTGACTTCAAATCCAGCCTCAGACACTGCCTAGCTATTAATCCTTTACAAGTCTTGGCATCTTTGTCTGCCTCAGTTTCTTTATCTGTAAAATGGGGAGGACAAAAAGACCCACCTTCTGGGGTTATTGTGAGGCTCAAATGAGATATCTGAAAAACACTTTTCGAACCTTAAAACATTATTAATCAATTAATAAACATTTGTTGAAGACCTACTATGTGCCAGGCGCTGGGCTAAGCTCTGGGGATATAAAAAGAGGCAAAAGACAGGCCCTGTCCTCAGAGAGCTTACAGTTGAGACGTGTGAACAAATATATACAAAGCAAGCTACATACAGGATAAACAGGAAATAACTAACAAGGAGAAGGCACTAGCATTAAGGAGGGCTGGGGAAGGCTTCCTGTGGAAGGTAAGATTTTAGTTGGGACTTAAGGAAAGCCAGGGAGGTCAGCAGTTGAGTGGAGGAGGGAGGGCATTCCAGGCATGAGGGCTGTTGTTGCTGTTCAGTTGTTTCGAGTCGTGTCCAACTCTTCATGATTTTTTTGGGCAGAGGTTTTGGAGTGCTTTGCCAGGCAAGGGTGATAACCAAAGAAAATGCTTATGTAAATATTAGTTATGATGATGATGATGATGATGACTACCACCACCACCAGCACAAAGTGCCTCCCTTTACCTGTTTTATATAAGCCATTAGATGATTTTTATGAATGTATTCATAATCCATAATGGTTTACGACTTTGCCTGATCATCTGCTTGCCATTTTAGCTCAATAAAATCACGTATATTCAGTTCATTCCAATCCAGCTAGAATTAATTAGTTAAGTATCTATTATATGCAAGGCAATGTGTTAAGTCATTAGATTATAAGCTCCGTGAGGGCAGGGTCTGTCTTTTGTCTCTTTTATAAACCCCTAGCCATTAGCACAGTGCCTGGCACACAGTAGATGATTAATAAATGTTTACTGCTTCATTCTCTGCTTATTGAGGGATACAAAGCACAAAAGGAAAAGAGTCCCAGGATCATCACTTTAGAGCTGAATGGAATCTTAAAGGCTATTTAATCCAACTGCTCAAGTCCCACTTTTAAGGAGCTCACATTTTATGGAGGGGAATACAACATATAATCAAATAAGCTAACGTGAAAAGGGAGGAGAGAGCACAGACAACTAGGGGAATAGGGAATGTCAGTTAAAGACTTGCAGAGAATTGTCTAGACCAAAGGTGTCAAACTCAAAACCCATATGGGCCACAGGTAGCTGTAACACTCCCCAGGGACATGGGAACTGGACTGAGATGTAACTGGGAAATATTTAACAAAGTAAATAAAAATACAATAGAACACAGATAATGTTAAACACTGGTTACCACTGCCTATAATATCAGCCAGATCCCAATTAGTTCAAATAATGATTCCTGTGAAGTGGCCATAAGCATTTCGATTCACACTGTTAGAAGTTATAATTATGTAGAACATGGTAAGTGGCTCCAACCCAATGGAAATGTGTAGTGCTAATGTGACAACTTCATGGACTTAGTCATTTATATTAATTAGGACCTAGCAGCAGAATTTTTCTGTTTTCTTCCTTTTGAAAATGAAGGTAGAAACTTGAAAAATAAGGTAGAGATTATACTATCTTTGAAGGGAAAAAGACAAACTGCAATTTAATTTTCAGACAAAGTATTTCTTCTGTGTTCATGAAAAAAATATAGGAGGGGCAGCTAGGTGGCACAGTGGATAGAGTACTGGCCCTGGAGTCAGGAGGCCCTGAGTTCAAATCCAGCCTCAGACACAGAACACTCACTAGCTATGTGACTCTGGGTAAGTCACTTAACCCTGATTGCCTCACCAAAAAATAAAAAATAAAAAAAAATATATATTGGAAAAGATGAACCTCACCTTGTTTCTAAAGGGAACAATGCAAAATAAACAAGTATGTGGGAAAAGAAAAATTGTGTTCCTAAAATTCCAGAAGGTTAAATATCCCTTCAGTGATGCTTGGCTGTACCTGGCAGTTTCAATTCTTCTAATTCAATCACTGAACGCTTGATGCTCAACTGATCCATCACCAGCTTCTGCAGGTCTTCTGGGACGCCCGGCTTTGGTTCTGATTTTGCAAGAAGGTCAGAAATTTTCTTCTAAGGTTTGGAAAGAAAGAAGAGGAAGAAGGTGAAGGTTAAGAATGTATTTGACCTCTGATGGGTTGACTTTTAATAGCATTTTAACTGTCCAGTGAGAGGAATGAATGTCTCCAGTGAGAACTCAAATTTGAATGTGAACCCAAATAAAACATCTGAAAAAAAATAACTTAAATATTTCCTGGTATAACTAAGTACTTCAAAGAATGAAGGGCTGATCCCTAAGGCCCTGTTTGCCTCTGAGTTCTATGTCTCCTATGAGAACTTAGGTTCTTCTGACTTAACATGACACTGTTTTCATTTAGATAAAGACTGATAATGCTGCTTGGCAAACATGGGATGGTATCATAAAGTGTCGAGACCCTCATTTCTCTTGGTTCTACTTTTTTATGGTGTGGTTATGCAATTATTTACTGGAAGGGCTACTCTGGGAGAATTCTTGTGTAGATTTAGGAAGTCCCATGTTCCCAGTTATTTTTTCTGGGAGCAGGGTAAAAATTGAGAGAAGTGAGAACACACTTAACAAAATTTGGGAAGACAGCATCCTAGCAAGGGAAACCTGCAAAGAACAGCAGGGATAGGAAACCTATCCTCTTTAATCTATTCAGACATACAAGGCTCCTCTTTTCTCATTCCTTTTTAATTATTTTACCAAGGACTAATCAGATGGGGCCATCTTTGGCTGTTTCCTATTCTTCTTTTCTGTCCCATATTATTCTCATTTCCTTGCTCTAGCCCCAAATGGTCAAGATCCCTGCCAAAAGTATCAGATGTTAAAAAACTGTGTCATCAGTGGGCACATTTTGAGTTGACCTCAGCCAGAATTATCTAACTACGGCCCCGACCTTGAACACTCAAGGGTTTGCCATTTCAGAAGGCTATTGCTATATGAACTACTAGAAAAAGAGTAGAACTCACTTCTTTCTAGGATGTGCCGAGTCTCAATTAGCCTGGCATATCATTCCATCTTCCTATCTGGTCCCCTTGTGAGGAAAGAAAGCATGCACATATACACAGAGTTTTCTAAAACTCCCCTGTTAAGTAACTGGTTTGAATCCCTCTTCTTTCTTTTAGACCCAAATCCTTTTTCCCCTGTTTGACTTCAGTAAAACTTTTACTTTTTGTTTTTTGGCAGGCAGAAAATTCTGCTGCTGTTTTCTTCGGAATGGGAAGGTCGATGTTCACCATTATATTTCCAAAGCTGAATTATACGGAGGAATTTATAGTGACACCAGTCTTCCAAATATAAATCCTGTTTGGCATTTAAAGGCTTTCATAACCTGGCCCCCTCCTACCCCTTCAGTCTTCTTACACTTATTCCGGGACCCTGGGACACTGGCCTCCTTGCTGTTCCTTGCATGAGACACTTGGTCTACCAACTCAGTCAATTTTCACTGGCTTTCTTTCCTCACCTCTACCTCCTGACATCCCTGATTTCCTTTGGATGACAGCTAAAATCCCACCTTTTAAAAGAAATCTTTCCTGATCTCTCCTTATACTAGTGCCTTCCCTCTGTTGATTATTTCCATTTATTTTGTATATTGCTTGTTCATACCTACTTATTATCTAGACCATTAGACTATGAATTCCCTGAGGGCAGAGACTGTCTTTTGCCTTCCTTAGCCTTTAGAACAATGTGTGGTACATAGTAAGCACTGAATAAATGCTTATTGACTTGACTTTGCCTTCTAAATGTTCAGAATGACAAGTACTAAACTGGCTTTCAATTGTGTTAAGAGGGAGCATGAGGGAGACCCTGCATAAATACTTTGGCCAAAGTGAACCAAGGTTATTTTTAGGCTACCATAGACAGGTTTAGAGGGAACTGTTTTGAGGTATACTACACTAAGTATTGGGAAGGGTCACCAAGGGAAGATAGATCTTATTCTTTGGAAACTGGGAATCTTTGGAAAATTATTGACTTGCGTACCTGGGATGATTTAGCTATCCCCTTTCCACAGTCGAAGGATGGACACTAGATGACCTCTGGGGGCCCCTTTTAATCCAAGGACTCTGTGACTAGCTTTTAAGTGGAAAGGCAACATTAGCTGGCAAGAGAACTCCCAACCGTTGGTTAGTTAAATGTAAGCAGTACCTTTCGTCTCTTCTTGGTCTTGGGGGCCTCTTTGCCCTTTTCTTTTGCTGGCAATAGGAAACATTCTTTGGGCTGTAAAGCAATCCAGATAAAAGGGTCTCAGTTCTGAGTGAAGGTTGGGAAAATGATAATGCTCCTAGAGTATCTTTTATCATACATTTTTCAAAGCGTCATGGTAGAACTCTAAAAATGGAGAGGGTATTTATAAAGCAATAATGTACTATTATGCAGACGTTAGGTAGAAGGAACACACAACAAGTAATTATAGCTGAGAATGGAATGGAATGAATTTACCTATTAAATGGAAACTGATAGTAGGTTAAAAATTTGAATTCAACAATATGGTGCTTTCAGGAAATGTTATAAAAATGAGAGATACACACAAAGATAAAATAAAGGTCAGGAGCAGAATTTATTATATAAAAAAAGCAGGAGTAGTAATCATGATCTCAGACAAAGTTAAAGCTAAAATAGATTTAATCAAAAAAGAAAAATAGGGAAACTATACTATGTGTCACCAATATTATCCAATATTGTTTTAGATCATTTCAAATAACTAGACAGTATAAAATACCCAGGAGTATACTTGCCAAAACAGACACAGAAACTATACAAACATAAACATAAAACACTTTTTATACAAATAAAGTCAGATCTAAATAACTGAAGTAATATTTATTGTTCATGGGTAGGTAAAGCCAACATAATTTAAAAAATGACAATTTTACCTAACTAATCTATTTATGTAATGCCATCCCAATTAAATTACTAAAGATTCTCTTACTGAGTTAAAAAAAATAATTAACAAAGTTCATTTGGAAGAACAGAAGGTCAGAAACTTCAAAGAAATCAGGGAAAAAGATGTAAAGGAAGCGAATTCAGTTTGAGAGCATTGTTGAAATGTAAAATGGGTAATTTTGATTATTTTCAATTAAAAATTTTCTTGTACAAATAAAACCTATGCAGCCAAGAATAGAAGGAATGCAGAAAATTGGTGGAAAAAAACTTTAATAGACAGCCTCTCAGATAGGATGTGATTGGGCTGGAATATTGTTGTGGTGTAGGAAATGATGAGCTGGTTGATTTAGAAAAACATATAAAGACTTGGAATTATGAAGGAAGATGCTATCCACTTCCAGAGAAACAGATGACAAGTGGGAATAAGTATAGTATATATGTGTATGTTTATCTATTATCAATATCTGGGCTTAACTATAGACTTCTTTAGGGTGGGGGGGAAGGGGGAAAGAAAGTAAAAAGTGCACAGCAGAAAACAAAAAAAAAATCTACAAGGAAGCAAAGAAAAGTTGGGCAGCTTTGGAAAGAATGTGTAGTAGTTATTATGTGGGTTTTCTTTCTTTCTTTCTTTTTTTTTTAGGCAATTGAGGTTAAGTGACTTGCCCAGGGTCACACAGCTAGTAAGTGTCAAGTGTTTGGTCTGAGGCCACATTTGAACTCAGGTCCTCCTGACTTTAGGGAGGATGCTCTTTCCACTGCGCCACCTAGCTGCCCCTTTGTAGGTTTTCTTAAAATGGAAATTTATTGTTTCATATTCAATCCTCTCTTTTGCTCTGCTGTGTACGTGGCAATGTTTTTTTTCTTTTCTTATTTCGTATTTAAGTTTAAAATAAAAAAGGAAAAAAGGAAAAAGAAAAAAATAAAATGAGGCTTATGGAAAAAAAAAAAGAAGTTAGAAAGAACTTGGAAAAAAAAAATCCGAAAATGTTTTAGGACTGGAATGGTGACTGGTATTTATCAGAACATTTGAAAGTTTGCAAGGGGGCAGTTAAATGGTGCATTGCATAGGGTGCAAGGCCTAGAGTCAGGAAGACTCATCTTCCTGAGTTCAAATCTGGCCTCAGACCCTTATTAGCTGTGCGACCCCGGGCAAGTCACTTGATCTTGTTTGCCTCAGTTTCCTCATCTGTCAAATGAACTAGAAAAGGAAATGGCAAACCACTCCAGTATCTCTGCCAAGAAGAGTCAGATATAACTCAACAATAAAAGTTTGCAAAAACACTTTACATGTATGCCTTATAAGAGCCCTGTGAAGTAGTTAGTACATACAGTATATTATCTGCATCTTACAGATAAGAGATTGATAGACTTGCCTATGACTAATAACTCATAAATGTCAGAAGCAGGATTTGAACCCACATCTTTCTCAATCTAAGTCACTAGTCTATCCATTACACCATGCAGCCCTCCCCTTTCAGTCTTTTTGCTCCAAAGTCAGAGAAACTGAGAACTGATATTCCTAAAGCAGAGGTCTGAACATGTTATATACCTACTCAAGAAGTCCCAAAACTTCCTTGTTGCCTCTAGAATAAAATACAAACACCTGTGGCTTCATGAACTGGTATCAATAAGCCGACCCTGGCTTATTGCTCTTTGCCCTTCTTCTCACACTTTGTTCCAGCCAGACGGGCCTCCTTGGAGTTCCCTTCGAATGACACCTCCTATACCGGTGCATGCCTCTTACAATCCCTAACCTCCTTCAAGGCTCACAATCAACTGTCACCTCCTGCAAAAGGTCTGTCCTACTCTGCCAGATGCTGGATTGCTTTCTTTTGCTTTTGTATCACACCACCCAACACAGTGCCTGGCACTTAGTACCCTTAAAAAATGCTTCCTGGATAAATGAATGAATGAATGAATGAATGCCTACCTGAAGGATCCAATGGAAAGATTAAAGGATCAGAGATTTAGAATTGTAAGGGATAACAAGAGCAATAATGGAAACAGCTAACATTAACATAGTACTTTACGCTTTCTGAAGTGTTTTTCATACATATTTTTCATCTGATCCTCACAACAATCCTGTAAAGTTAGTGCTATTATTATGTTTATTTTACAGAGAAGGAAACTGAGGCTGAAAGGTGAAATGACTTGCTCATAGTCACACAGCTAATAAGTGTCTGATTCAAACTCAAGTCTTCTGGAGTCCAGGTTCAACTCTCTATCTCTATTGTGTCATGTAGCCCAACCAGGACAACCTCAAATTTTAAAGATAAGGAAACTGAGGCCAAGAGAAGTGAAATGATTTGCCCAAGGTTGCATTGATAGTAAGGAAGAGGGAACCAGGGTTTAAAGCCAATGTTTCTCGCTTAAAATCCAATGTTGGAAATAGATCAATCAATTAATTAAACATTAATTAAGCACCTACTGGATAATTAAGAAACAGAAGACAGTAGTTTAGTACTAATAAATCCAAGAACATTGAGTGGACGACTCCCTTTTTGGCAAAGAACTGCCAGGAAAACTGGAAAGAAGTTTGGCAGAAATCAGGATCAGACCACATTCTGTTGTTGTTCAGTCGTTTCAGTCATGCCCGACTTTTCATGACCTCATTTGGGATTTTTTTGGCAAATACACTGGAGTGGTTTGCCATGTCCTTTTCCAGCTCATTTTACAGAGGAGGAAACTGAGGCAAACAGAATTAAGTGACTTGCCCAGGGTCACAGTAAGGGTCTAAGGTTGGATTTGAACCCAGGAAGATGAGTCTTTGTGACTCCAGGCCCAGCACTCCATTCATTGTGCCACCTACCCACCCATCAGATTACATAGCACAATACAAAAAGTCATATCATAAAAAAGAAGACAACAAAATCAGGAACCTTTAATGTCTATAGCTAACAGGACAGTTCTTCACTAAACTAGCAGGTAGAGGAGATTATGAAAGATAAAACAGTTTTCACTACATAAAATTAAAATGTTTTGCATGAATAAAAGCAGTGAGGATTGAATTAGAAGCAAATTTGAAGAGTGGGAAAGATACCTCTAACACCAATGATAAAAGATTAAGATGAAAAATAAACAGAACTGCCAAAAACATATAATACCAAGAGCCATTCTGAAATAGAAATAAATAGAAATAATAAAGTATATGAGAAGAGTTTTAGGGAAAAAAGATTTGCAAACTATTAAAACTTCCATTTATTATATTACTTATTTATATAATTTTATTAACTATTAAGACCACATGTTTCAAATCACTTACAGTCATCAGTCAAATCACTTATAATACAACAACAAAAGTAATAATACAACAAATTAAAACAACCTTGAAGATTTCCCCTTATTCTATATCAATTGGCAAAGACGAAAAAGAAGGGAGTAATCAATGCTGGAGGGGTTATGGAAAGACACACTACTGTATGGCTGGTACAGATGTGAAGTAGTACAACTTCTAGATTTCAATTTGGAATTATGCAAGAAAGCTGGCTAAATTTCAAATAGATATACAGTTAGATACACAGTACAAGGAAGTCCAAGACAGACACAAAGGTCTGGTAAAGATGGCAAATAACTACTGCAGAGAGTGTAAATCTGATGGACTGGCCACATGGTTCCAATGCCAAATGTACATTTACCTAACAGACTTTTATGGAGAATTCATATGAGGCAAGTGTGCACACAGAGGTCAGAAGAAGAATTACAAGCACACTCTCAAGGTATGAGACATGGGAGTTACTGGCATAGGACTGTCCAGCATGCCATGTCTGCATCAAAGAAAGCAGTGTACTCCATCAACAAAGCAGAACTGCAGTGTCCAAAAGAAATGTTAGATACGCAAATTCAGACACCTCCATTCCAAATGTTCGTATTGACTATTTGTGCCCAACTTGGGGTAGATCCTTCTGAGCTCATATTGGCCTGGTCAGCCACAGTCAGCCATACTGTACAATGACCCCAAGCTAATGATGTATTTTTTGTTCTCTTTGACTAGGAAGGACAACAGCCAATCAACCAGCAAATAACTGAAAACAAAGTAGGTACCAGCTGATTAGTGAGTGGCTGTAAAAATGACGTTATATGAACATAATGGAGTAATATTATGCAGTAAGAAATTATGAATATGAGGAATTCAGAGAAAAGTGGGAAGATTGCATGAACTGATAAAGAATAAAATACACAATGATGACAACAATGAACGTACTGGACGTTATCAATGAAGGTCCTTGAAAAGAGGAAATAAAACCTATCTCCTCATCCCTCACAGCAGAGAGGGGATCACTAGGAAAAAACAGTATATCTAACATCTGACAAGGTTTGTTTATCAGATGTTTTTG